GCACAGGAATTCTATGGCTCTCCTGTCCACTTACTGATTGTAATGAAAAGACTTTTAATTTGCTGATGAGCCAAAACTGAGTGTGAATACAAAATACTCCAATGGGGAAATTCAACCTCTTTCTGTTCCTGATGCTAAGCAAGGAAGAGATGTTGTAAATATCTGGGAGAAAAGAGATGTATTAGATAACACTGACAACAGCCTTGTCTCCTCATTCAGTCCACCATGAAACCCTATATCCATGCCACTGCTATTTTTCTATCTCTGGGATGTGTGTGTGTGTGTGTGTGTGTGTGTGTGTGTGTGTGTGTGTTTCCTGGTTTTAGATGAATGAATGTATGAGAAAAAAATGGACTAGGGAGGAGCCAGTCTTGAGGAATGGTCTGCTTGATTCAATCCGGCAATGAAGAAATATGGCTGCCCTGAAAGTAAGGAAGTGACGCATCCATCAGGTGTTCTACACCACAAAGTGAATTTGTGGGAGGAATGTTTTGTAGCAACTCCTTTAAGGCTAAGCCCACTGTCCCCAAGAACTGAGGCATAGAGGGGAGAGAGTACCCTAGTTTGGAGGGATGTTTTGGTATTTTGGTTCTTGCTATACATTTTTAGTACATGTCCCTTTGCAAAAACTAATGATGTTAATTAGTTATCAATGATGTTGAAGAAATCAATTACTCAAAATAATACTGGGATGCTAATTGCTGGTTGTATCATACTGAAAAGATAACTTGATGACTGATGCTGGGAAGGGATATACTGAATGGGTGCTCAAGGATGATGGTATCAGAACAATACCCCGAAGGACCCAGAATTCTGCTGAGATCAGAAAACATTCTCTGGGGTTGTGAACTGCCAGTGTGATTATGGGTTGGGAGAAAGAGCCAGGAGCCCAAAGAAGTGCTACAAATCTTTCTACTACAATACAGTACCGTTAGTGTGCAGACTGAATGAGAGAAGGATATAAGACTGCGGATCTACTTTTGTACTCATGCACTTGGTTATAATGTTCTAACCCCCATTTCTCACGAAACTAGCTACAGCACATACATATGCTTGTTTTCTTTTCCCTGAGAAATATTCTATTATTATATTCCAGGCAGTTTTTTCTTTCTGTCAAAAGGTTAAGGTTACTACTCTCTTAGCTGAGTTGTTCTCCACCTGTGAGGATAATAATTATTAGTTTCCTGGCAGGTATAATTACAATCTAAAACAAAGTTCCTGAGTTGTCCAAGCCACCATTTCAATAGCTCTTATTTAGTTTTAATGCTAATCTTAAGGGATGGAGAACAAATGGATATTGCTTTATTTTCCATAATAAAAAAAGCTTACTCTACTTTTCACCTTAACTAATTTCAGTAGATGTTAAGAGCAATATTTCATTTTATTTCTTGAATAACAAAATGATAATGAAAGAACTACACAGCTAGGAAAGATTTCAAGAGGTCATCCATCCCGGTGTCTAACAGTGATGGTCTTCAAATATCCAAGACAGATTGTTGTCAATCCTGTTTTTAAAGCTCTCCACAGGCACATCTTCCCAAAGACTAATCTAATTTCTGCATTTGTCAAAAGCATTACTGCTATAACCAAAAGCAATTTTAGCTGAACATTATCTGGTAGTTCAACATGTATTGTAACATGTAATTTTTAAAATTAACTTATTTTTACGTGCCTTAATAATAGATTTCTCCCACTACCCCCATCAAACAACAACAACAACAAAACCAAAAAAGCCCTCTCATCATAAAGACGCATAGTCCAGCAAAACAAATTGCAACCTTTGCCATGCCAGAAAAATGCTTATCTCTTCCTGCATTGCATATTAATCTTTTCTCCAGAAGGAGGTGAGTAGCATGTGTTATTTCCACTCTTCTGGATTCATTTGTCATTGCATTGATTAGAGTTCTCAAGTCTTACAACAAAGCTGTCATTGTATAGACTATTATCCCAGTTCTCCTCATTTTACTACAATAAATAAGAGGTCTTCTGGTTTCTTCTGAAATTGTCCATTTTGTCATTTCTTATGGCACAATAATATTCCATTACACTCATAGTCTATAATTTGTTTCACCATTCTCCAATAGGACAGCCCCTTGGTTTCCAATTTCTGGCTATCACAAAAAGAGCTACTACAATATTTTTGTACACATGGGTCCTTTTCCTCTTTCTTTGATTTCCTTGTGATACAAAACCTAGTAGTGGTAGAGCTATGCCAAAAGGTATGTATAATTTAGTTACTTTGGAGGAATAATTCAAATTGCTTTTCAGAATGGCTGGAACAATTCACAGGTCCACCAAATGCATCAATGTGTCTTTTTTTTCCCCCCATAGCCCTTCCAACAATTGTCATTTTCCTCTTTTTTCTTCTTTGCCAGTCTGATAGGTGTGAGGTGGAAACTTATGGTTGCTTCACTTTGCATTTCTCTTTATTAGTGATTTAAAGCATTTAAAATCTTAATAGCATTTTATTTTTTCCCAATTGCAGATCAAGATACTTGTTGTTATTAGATATGACAGACCTTTGGAGAAAATTGAATGGGAACAGAAAGGAATATACCTTTTTCTTAGCAGCACGTAGTACCTACACAAAAATTGATCCCAAATGGGGTCATAAAGAATTGGACACAACTGAAACAACTCAAAAAAACATAAAATGTTGGAAAAAACCCAAAGCATTTGCAAGTATGCCATAATTCATGTTATTTTCTTATTGCATAGAGAAACAAAGATAGTCTCAAAGTGGTTAAGTAAAATAACAGTAACAACAACTACTGCAACACTGGACATGGTGCTAGGAGACCTGACCTGGAGTTTTAAATTCAACATTTATTAATTGTGTGATTATGGAAAGTATTTAACACTTGTACTGCCTATTATCACAGAATAGTTGAATAAATTAGCAAAAATCATTTGTTAATCATATACTTTGTCCCTGGCACTATGCCAAATGCTAGAGACACAAATAAAAAGTGATACAGGCCCTGTACTTTAATGTTTATATTCTAATAGGGAAAGACCACATATATAGGGACTTGGTGACCAAGAAAGGCCATCTGAGAAATCACAGGAAACATGAATGAGTGGTGAATTGACATATCATATCCAGAAGCAAAGGTAGCGCCGATTTTATCATTGTTGCCAGGGCCAAAAATGGATGGAAAGGAGTATGTTTGTAACAGGAGGGGCATGGCCAATTTTCATGATATAGGAGCCTCACACTTCTTACTTAGCCATGTAAATACTGACTCATTCTCTGAGTTGCCCACTCATTCTAACTTGTAGGTCTAGGTTTCCAGAGATAGACGATCACTACAAAATTATGCTCAAAATCTCAAAAGGTTATAGGGACAACCCTATTGAGGGGAAACAAGACTCTCTCCACTCACCACTGCATCTCTAGAACCCCCACCTATGCTTTATTTTTGCACAACCAGCCAATCACAATATAATGCACATAGATAAAAAAATATATATTTACAAAAGCATTATTGTCACAATAATGACAATTTTAGATCTTAAAAATAAGCATTTATTTAACAATAATGCAAAAGAAATAACACCATAGATGCTCATATATTAAAACAAAGGCATACATAATAAAATGTATCACAATCCCAATATATCACTGTCACTAAACCACCTGGCCAATGAAATCAGTTCTCTCTTCTACTGCTCAGGAATCATTTAGCTAAGCCTTCTGTCAGCTGCTTACTTTTAGCTGCCATAACTCCAATGGAGCAGCTTTTCAGGGACCTGCTGGGTTTTCAATTCTCCTTCTCATATTCCTTTATCACGTTTCTCCCTATCTTCAAAGGCTAAAATGAGAGACTTTTGACTCTCAACCACTCACCCTTCACTTAAAAAGGTAACAACTTTCTATATTTCCTCAAAGAAAATCAACAGCCCTTTTAAAATCATACCTTAATATCTAAATGCTTATGTTTTTTTCTTTCTCTCCTTTGAACTATCCTCTTGAGTCATTAAATAGTAATATGCCAATGAGCTGACACACAGTTCTAATGTTCTAAGGTCACCATATGGTTCTACCTCTCCTTTGGTGTCCTTGAAACTGAGCTTTACATTCATATTTCTCTAGTTTTCAATAAATAGAGGGACTTTCTCTGCTTCTTTAAAACATCAAATGGTTCACATGCAAGCAAGGCAACATTACGCATTTTTCACAAGATGATTTGAGTACTTATGTTTATTCTACAGGTAATTTTTGGTGCAAAACTGCTTGAATCCTGTCTGAAAGGTGAGTTTCTTCATACTTCTATTTAAATATATATGTATATCTTTTAAAAATTATATAAAAATTCTTTTCATACTCCTTTTAGGCATCATAATGTTTATCTGTAACAGTGGCAGTATTCTACATCCTTTAACAGTTGATATATTTCTTTTCCTTCATGTAAAATATGAACTGCTCCATATGAACTGAGAAGAATCTTAAAGAGATGGTATATACACAAATAGTTTCAGAGAGGACAGCAAGAAGATGGTAGGGGGTCAATGACTGAATGAGATGTGAAACATGGCCTAATATAGGGGAGGCTAGATATAGTGTGCTCTGTGAATTGTGAGGAAAGTGTTTCATGAACGGCAAATCACTACATACACATACATACATATGTATATATGTACATATATATATATATATATATATATGCACAAGTTTAATCAATATTTGGGGGATTAGTACTTTAATTTCATTGATATAGGGAACTCCCAGAGAGCAATACTCATGAGTCTGAGAATATTGACTGGGGGCCACTCAGAGTTTGTGACTTGCCCAGGGTTACAAAACTGCTATATGTCAGAGGTGGAGCATGAATCTGAGGCTAGCTCCCTCTTCTCTGTGCCCTTATTCTGTTTTATAGTCATTTAAACAAAATTAACAACTTCAAGATAATAAAGGGGAAATCGCACTTGCCAAACCCCTCTCTCCTGACAATAGCCTATAAATACTACAATTAACTTAAGAAAAACAAACTACTTACCCCCTGTTGCTGACAATTGCCTTTTTCAAATGAATGTAGTTTGCAGGAAAGATACCCTGTAAAATAGAAAAGTTTCACATCATAAAAAATTATGTTGTTTTCCCCTCATCTTGACCAAACACATAAGCATTCAAATAGCCAACTTTCTACATAAAATAGCTTCTCTCTCACTACTGTAACAGTTGCCTCCATAAGGCAATGCACAGGGAATATATAGACATCAACTATTTGCTGCATGGAAATTAAATACTAGTCAACAAGCAAATTATATTCATCCCATGGCATTGCAGTCTTCAATGGAAGGGCACAGAAACAGCTTTGCAATGTTATGATCTTTCATCCTACAGGTACAGACTTGGGATCAGAGTTATAAAGTAAGGTGGGGTGACATGGGCTTTGACCTCTCAAGTTTAGAGGTTATGGAGTCACATAGCAGTGCAGGAATCACAAAGATTGGCACCTTGTTGATAATAATAATTAATTAAATATGAAGCTACCAGGCAGAACACTGGGATGAAGCAGAGAAGCCAATGTGATAGTCAAGGGAAAGCAGAGCTCTACAGAACTAGAGCTGTTAAAAAGCCAACAGCAATTAGGAGTACTACTGCGCTGTATTTGGGAAGAACTGGTTATTTTTCTGAACGCACCAGTCTTGGTAAGCAGACCCCAGACACCTTCTGATTTCATGAATCAGACATCATTTAGATAAGGATGTTGCACAAAGGCATGTTTAGAATTCTTTTGATGTCAGGTGCTGCTTTCTGGGATTCATAGGTCATTAGAGCTATCTAACCAGAACGTTCTACTACCTCGGTAGAAGCAAGGCCCGTCTGGTAAGGGAAATCAGCATCCATATCTCTCCGTACATACACAGAAAATAAAAATTATTTAACAATGATAGCCTAACCACACAAAACCAATCAACACACCAAATCCTTTCCCCAGAATAGAACACTGATTAGGTTGGTTTTAAACAACTATGAAACCAGTATATTTTTAAACCTCAGGCAAAAAAAGGTGAATGAATTTCCAAAGAAATATTTGTCTTCTTAAGGAGTATAGATTCTGCTGTAATTTCACAGATATACTTCATCAGAAGTAAGTGCCATTGTTCATAAGTGGTTTCATTTTACAGAGGAAAAAATCTAAATAGCAAATTTGTAGGTAAGAGATGTTTTGTAGGCACCAGAATGATTGAGAACAAGAGGAAGGTGGATGGCACACAAAACACAGAAAGTTCAATCTAACAACTTCCCTTCCAGTGGGATACAGTCCTCCTCCTATGGACAATTTACATTTACGGGACAAAGCCTCAGTTTTTTGGACAGTATCTCTCATTTGAGAATATAGGAGATGTATTTTCTCTCACCACAGAAATCCTTTTGTACTCATTATGAAAAATTTTCAATGAATATCTGGCACCACACTTATATTACTCTTTTCAACGGAAGACAGTAACAATCACCAAGTGGAAAGACAGCAGAGCCTAACCTTGCATTTCCCTCTCATGGTACTCCCACTGATAGGACCTGAAATTAAGTGTAGGCAAAAGTCCCAGAACCCTGAGGAGCTATAGTTCTAGAAGGAAAATGATAAAATGTAATTCAAAAAACTGTTTCGAGATATTCTTTCAGCTAGCAGAACTCTCATCAAGGTCAACTGGAATTCTGTCTTCTTAAGGAGCATAGATTAGGCCTCCACAGGATCTGATATTTGATTGATATTACATTAAAATGGAATTCCTGATGCTAGGAAGTAAACTGAGAAATGAAAGAAATATGCCTACCAAATGGTAGTGAATATGAAATCAGAGATTTTCAAAATTTGTCATGAGTTTCACCTTATTTTTAAAATCTGAATTAATAACTATACTATCAAATTTATTTCTAAAAAGAAACCTTTCAGCAGTTTTGAGAGCCTCTTACTTTTAATGATAAGCATTTTTTTGAGTCCTAATGTACACGACTAGAATTGGAATGAAGATAGTTTGAACTGATCTTAAAGTTGTTTTATTGTACAAGATAGCAACAGCCCATGTCCCCTCCCTGTTAAGGCTTTTAACATTTTTTTTTGATTCCCTTGTTCTGCAATTAGATGTAATTATTGCAATGTTTATCTATTTGATTTTAAGTTCTATTAATTAAATATTCTTCAAAAACAGGAATACATTAAAAACTCTGGAGACTAAAAGCTATAAAAGCCCTACTATATGATCCCAAAAGATTATTCCTACTCTGTTGACTATACTCCCAAATTACACTAAGGTGCTCTCCTTATAAGTATCTCCAGATATCTAAGCATATGTTCAGAAAGGGCCCAACTAACCAGAGATGCTGCATGCAGATGCATTTTTCTACAACAAACATACACATAATTCCCAGGTATGAAAAGTGCAAATGTATTCATGTGTGATAAAATTAAATAATATTTGTAAAATACTTTGTAAACTCTAAAGCTGATATAAATGATGACTGTTGGTCAGTCAAGCAGCATACATTTGTAATGCCTGACTTGGGCCCTCCTTTACTTCTCCCAGGATCCAAACCACATCCTTGCTTTTCAGATCCTTCTAGTCTTTATTTTTTTAATCTTTTTTTAAATTTCTTTTACTAAATTTTTTAAATATAAATTTATTTATTTGTAGTTTTCAACATTCATTTCCACAAGTTTTGAGTTTCAAATTTTCATCCTGTCTCACCCTCCCCCCACCCAAGATGGCATGCATTCTGAATATCCCTTCCCCTAGTCTGTCCTCTTTTCTTTCTCTCCCCCCTTTTCTTATCCCCTTCCCCTTCTATTTTCCTGTAGGGCAGGATAGACTTCTGTACCCCATTTCCTGTATTTCTTATTTCCTGATAGCATGTGAAAACTTTTTTTTAAACATACGTTTTTAAAACTTTAGGTTTCAAATTTTCTCTCTTCCTCCCTCCCCACCCACCCTCATTGAAAAGGCAAGCAACTCAATATAGGTTGTACATGTGCAGTTATGCAAAACACTTCCATAGTAGACATGTTGTGAAAAACTAACTCTATTTCCGTTAATCCTATTCTGCCCTCCCATTTATTCTATTCTTTCTTTTGACCCTGTTCCTCCTCAGAAGTATTTACTTCTGATTACACCCTTTTCCAATCTGCCCTCCTCTCTATCATCCCCCTGCTTGCTTGCCCCCTTCTTCCCCTATTTTCTTGTAGGGTAAGACAAACTTCCATACCCAATTGAATGTGTATGTTATTCCCTCATTAAGCCAAATCCTGTAAGAATAAGATTTACTCATTCCCTGTCACCTTCCCCTGCTTCCCCTCCACTGTAAGAGATTTTTCTTTTCTGTTTTTTCTTTGTGAGATAATTTACCCCTTTCTACCTCTCCCTTTCTTCTTCTCCGAGTATAATCCTCCCTCATGCCTTAATTTTATTCTCCAGATATGATCCCTTAATCTTCAACTCACCCTGTGCCTTCTATCTATCTATCTATCTATCTATCTATCTATCTATCTATCTATCTATCTATCTATCTATCTATTTATCTATCTATATACATACATATAATTTTTTTCCTCCAACTACCCTAATACTGACATAGGTCTCATGGGTTACAAATATCATCTTTCCATGCAGGAATGTAAACAGTTCAATCTTAATAAGTCTCTTATGATTTCTCTTTCCTGTTTACCTCTTCATGTTCCACTTGAGTCCTGTATTGAAAGTCAAATTTTCTATTCAGCTCTGTTCTTTTCATCAGGAATGCTTGAAAGTCCTCTATTTCACTTAATGACAATTTTTCCCCTGAAGGATTATACTCAGTTTTGCTGGGTAGGAGATTCTTGGTTGTAATCCTATCTCCTTTGCCCTCCAGAATATTATATTCCATGCTCTGCGGTCCTTTAATGTAGAAGCTGCTAAATCTTGTGTTATCCTGATTGTGTTTCCACAGTAGCTGAATTGTTTCCATCTGGCAGCTTGTAATATTTTCTCCTTGACCTGGGAACTCTGGAATTTGGCTATATATTCCTAGGAGTTTTCTTTGGGGATCTCTTTCAGGAGGAGATCTGTGGATTCTTTCAATTTCTATTTTGCCCCTCTGGTTCTATTTTCCCTGATATAGGGCAGTTTTCCTTGGATAATTTCTTGAAAGATGATGTCTAGGCTCTTTTTTTGATCATGGCTATCAGATAGTCCAATAATTTTTAAATTCTCTCTCCTGGATCTATTTTCCAGGTCAGTTTTAACACTGAGATATTTCACATTGTTTTCTAATTTTTCATTCTTTTGGATTTGTTTTACAGTGTCTTGATTTCTCATAAAGTCACTGTCTTCCAATTGCTCTATTCTAATTTTTAAGGAAGTATTTTCTTCAGTAGTCTTTTGGACTTCCTTTTCCATTTGGCCAATTTTTCTTTTTAGGGCATTCTTCTCCTCATTGGCTTTTTGGACCTCTTTTGCCATTTGGGTTAGGCTATTTTTTAAGGTGTTAATTTCTTCAGTATTTTTTTGGGTCTCCTTTAGCAAGCTGTTGACTTGTTTTTCATGATTTTCTTGCATCACTCTCATTTCTCTTTCCAGTTTTTCCTCTGCTTCCCTTACTTGCTTCTCAAAATCCCTTTTGAGCTCTTCCAAGGCCTGGGACTGATTCATATTTTTCTTGGAGGCTTTGGATGTAGGAGCTTTGACTTTGTTGTCTTCTTCTGGTTGTATATTTTGATCTTCTTTGTCACCAAAGTAAGATAATATAGTCTGACTCTTTGCACTGCTTGCTCATGATCCCAGCCAATTACTTGAGTTTTAAACTCTTTGTTAAGGTAAGAGTCTGCTTCCAATGTGGAGAATGTACTGTCCAAGCTTCAGGGGTTTGTACAGCTGTTTTCAGAGATACTTGTAGGGACCTGTAAATTTTCAGTTCTTGCAAGGTGGTATGATAAGGGGCAAGGTGTTTACTCCTTTCCTGGCCTGTGACCACAAGTATTCCTTTCTGTCCTGTAACTGTGATGAGGGGCACCACAACCACTACAAGCTCCACCATGCCAATGTTCCTCCTCACTCCAACACCACCACTCAGAA